TATAGTTGGAGATAGTAATAGTAATGTAATTTTTTTTACTAGTTTGATAGATTAATAATTATTACGAATTTGACATAATTTGACTAAAATATTCCTGTATAATTACTTTAGGTAAATTAATTTGGGAAACAAATATAGATGCGAAAGATAATGGTTCTATATTTAGGATTAAATTTCATCTTTGAAATTCTAATTAGCTTTTCTTATATTTGGGATTGGGGAGGGAGTAAATTTTCCTTCAAAAAGCTTTATTTGAATATTTTGTTAATGCTATAAAGTATCACATATAAGTTGTCGTACAACTAGCGGCCGATCCGGAATGCGGAATAAATAAGCAACCCGCGAACTTCAAGCTGATAGAGGCCTTAACAAAGTCATTCAACAGTGCCCGACATAAGTGGGTGGACCTTGATAAGAGTATCGATTCTATGTTTGTTTTCTGGGCTTTGAATATTTTTTTTGTTGTCTATCTGGTTCACCGGAGTAAAACCGGAGTTTTACTCCGACTATATTTGGATCCGACCCGCGTTGCGCACTTGGCTGTGGTGGATGAATCTCTCAACAGGAATTTCTGCATACGCTGAGGTTTGAACTCGAGACTTTGTTTGAACGGTACTAAGCCGCTTATCACTTGGATCAATCCCGTTGGTTTGGGTTTTAAATTATTCATTGTGAATAGGAATCTTGTCCGATATCCAGGCCCATAGTCCCATCATGTGGTGGAAGCAAAACACAGAAAGATTTAGAAAAATGACACGTGCTGATCCATAATTCGCAATACCAATAGTGGTTCCCCCAAAAAGATGAGTTATTTTGAATTTTGGGATGAAACTGAGTGAGTCATTCCATCTTGACTGCTTGAGGAGTCACTTCATATGAATTCCAAATGATATTTAAACTTTTCAAATAATTAAGGATCAAATTGAAAAAATACATTAAATGTTAAGACAAACCCAAATTAAAGTTTTTAAATAGAAATAAGGGAATATATAAATTTTTATCCCCTAACCAACCCATCCCTTGTCTTTTCCAATGAACAATCCCTATAACAACATAATTATCGTCAACTTTATCGTCAACCCAAAAACAAAAACAAAGCTATATATATATATATATATATATATATATATATATCCCTTATACTCTCTGCCTGCATTGTATTCACGTCTTTAAAGATTTCTTCTATACAGAGCCATGATATTGATGAGCTGCCCACTTCCCTCCCTCCCTTTCTCTCTTTGCGTGTGTTTGTTTTTGGGTTGATAGCAAATCCGCAAAAAAAAAAAAAAAAAAAAAAACAGATACCACCACGTGACATCACAATACAGTCATAGACGTAATTAAGTAGTAACGTTGGACAACAAACGAACACATATGTGTGGGTAGTTCCAGTGACAACATCGTAAAGATATTTGATTAGAAAGATAAGCTTAACCAGTCACCCCTCACCCACCTCATTTTTTTCCCAAAAACAAAAAAAAATTGGACGCAGAGCGAGACGTGACAAGAACTGAAATCTGAACCCCATGCAGTCTCCTAAGATCAGATAATAATGGGCCTAATCTTGAACCCTGAGTATTAATTAAACTAAGTTAGACTAAATAAAATGTCCCGTGTATCTTATATATGGTCAGAAAATCCCTTTAACAAAGTTTATGCGAAGTTATTTAATTAAAAGAGCACGTGTTTAAGAATATGTTCAAACAGGAAGTAATTCCCAGCAAGTAATGATCTCTTACTCCTTTTTCACGCGATATTAAATTGTTCACTTGCAATTTTATTTGTGGTGTTTTTAAGACTTGTTAAGAGTTGTGCATTTTGCTCTCAATCTTGTAATATGGTTCTGTTTCTCTTTTTTGGTCAACCCATCTGGGACGTTTGCTTTTAATCTTCTTCCCCTTTTGACTGATCTGTTAGATTTTTGTGTTATGTATTGCGTCTGTATATAGATGCGTTATGAGTACGAAGCCAATACGTCAATCCTAACCTTTAAATAAATTAAAGTTGGGCTCAGTAATGGTCCTACCAAGTTTAATTTGACCCCACGAATGCAATAATTTTTTTTTTTTTTAAGAAAGAGAAGTTTAAGAGGGTTTGGTATGGGAATTTATTGGGGCTGGGACATATATTTTCAAGATTAAAGAATGCTCATAAAAATATTTGTAGATTGCTCTCCAATAATGTTTTTACATCATTAATGAGATTTGGGTCTATAATTTTACGGGTGATGGACCAAATCTTTGTTATTTGTTGGTTATCCTGCACATACAAATACTAATATATGTAATATCCTTTTTTTTTATCAGGTTATATGAGCAGTGTGTCATTCTTCTTAAAGAAAAGAAAACAAAGTTAGATGAATTTTTCATTTGAGAGATTCTATTTTTAAAAAAATGTAAAAAAAAAGATTTGTTTTATTGCTTTGATTCTAAATATAAAACTTATTATGTAGTATAAATTATACTATAAAATGAGTTTTATATTTAAAATCGAGAGAATAGTGTAAAGTCTAAGATAACTTGTAAGAAAAAGGCTAAAGTATATATTTGGTCTTTTAACTTTTTATAAGGTTTCAGTTTGGTTATTTAATTTTAAAAAGTATACTTTTAATCATTTAATTCTAAAATTGTTAGTCTTAAATGATGATTTTTTTAACAGTCATGATTATTTTGAATATTAAATTTAATATGTTAGTATTTAGTAATGTTTCATTTTATTATCATTTTTTGTTAACAGTTTTAAGATTAAAGGACTAAACATTTACTTTTTAAAGTTAAGAAACCAAAATAAGACTTTGTATAAAGTTAAAGGATTAGAAGTATACTTTAGCCAAAGAAAAATCATCAAGATATAAATGCTAGGACTAAATTTCATCTTTGGAATTCTAATAAGTTTTCTTATATTTGGGATCGGGAAGGGAGTAATTTTTCCTTAAAAAAAGCTTTTGTCAGTTAATGCTATAAAGTGTCCCATGTTAGTTGTCACTCAACTAGTGGCCGAACCGGAATGCGGAACAAATAAGCTGCCCGCGAACTTTAAGCTGATCGAGGCCTTACCAAGTCATTCAACATTGCCCGACAATATTGGACTTTGATAACAGCATCGATTTTGTGTTTGTTTTCTGGGCTTTGAATAATTCATTGTGAATGTGAATCTTGTCCGATATTCAGGCTCATAATGCCATCATGTGGTGGAAGCAAAACGCAAAAAGATTTAATACGTGATTGGATAGAAATCAAATCATGATTTTAAAAATACTTTTACGGTTTACAAAGTAAATATGTGGAGAGATTTGTCTCATTTTACAAAAAAGTGTTTCTTAGAAGGACTTTTGAAGGTTGCCAAAAGAAAAATGAGAGGTACTGGTCCATAGCTCGCAATACCAATAGTGGCTCTCCCAAAAAGACAAGTTATTTCACCAATGAGGTTAGGTCTAGTAAAAGAGGTTAATCCCTTATAATGTAGCGAATCAATATTCGAATTTTTGTTGAGAGAGATGCCTATATTTAGTGCCTGACAATATCTCAAATAGGATTACTTCTAATAGGAGGATACTTATGCTTTAGTTTTTTTTTTAAAAAAAAATGGTAAGTTATTTTGAATTTTGAGATGAAACTAAATGAGTCATTCCATCTTGACTGCTTGAAGCGTCGCTTCATATGAATTCCGAATAGGTATTCTATTGAGCCCCATATTTTGTACAAATTTAATCCATTAGGATGATTTTCTCAAAATAGTTATAATTTGTATTATGAATGTATTAATATATCAGTAAATAATATTATGACTTGCAAATTTATACCTTTTTTCAAATACTACCTCTGGTTCTTAATATAAGACTTTGTTTGACTTTTATTTTGGTCCTAAATATAAGAGCCCAATCCACTTTATCTCTCATATTTATACTTTTTTTTTTCTAAAGTAGCTCTTCTAATAATGATAGTTCTAGTCAATACACTTGATTAGCAAGGATATTTTAGGAAAGACAATACCTATTTATGACAAATAACTAACTTAACTTACTTCCACTACTACAAAAAATACATTTAACGGCGGTTAAAATAAGCTTTTTACGGCGATTTTGAGACCGATGTCTATGCTATCAACGTAAAATGTAAAGGATTTCACGGCGGTTTAAGAACCGCCGTGATATGTAACTTTTCACGGCGGTTATATAAATAACCGCCGTGAAAATTTTTTATTCCTTTAAGCTACGTTTCATCCTATTGATCAGGAGGGAACGGGAGAACAAAGCCTCAAAGGAAATCTCTTGCTAGTTAAAAGCATTCTGATGGAGTAAATATAGATTCTTTTCTGCCTTCATAGCGTCACTTAGCTTCACTTTCGGCCACCAGATCGAAACAACTAAGATTTAATAAAGGTAAAATCAAAGACTCAGATCTGATAAAATCAAAAACTCAGATATGCTAAAAATCAGATCTCTTTAAACTCAGATTAAGCATCTTATTTTTAACTAAAGAAAATAATCATATCAAACCACAAAAACTGCAAAATCCACAGAAAGAATGAAGGTGAAAAACTCACAAATAAGAATGAAGAGGATGAGGCGATGGTGACGGCAACAGCAACAGCGACAGTGATGGAAGAACATGGTGGAAATGATAGAGGCAATGGATAAACGCCGACAAATATAGGAGGAGGGAGAAAATCGAGTGAGGATGTGGTATGGGGGACTATGAGCTCTGACTCTGAAAAGTAAAAACTATCGCGCGATGGATTTTAAAATTTTTATAGACTTTTTACGGCGGTTATTTAAAAAATCGCCTTTAAAAGTCCGCCTATAATTACATAAATGCCATCGTCATATTTTTTACAACGTTTTTACTAATAACCGCCGTGAATTAGCGTCGTGAATACTCTTTTTTGTAGTAGTGTTCATTAATCTCCTCAAATTAGTCAACTGACTCTTATAATTAGAATGAGGGTATTATGTTTTTTCAGAAAGAAGATTAGCCCCGCAATACTGTCCTGAAAGATGCTTTTTCCAACAAAACACAATAAAGATAATTCCAAACGAGGGAAACTCGCAGGAAGCTTCATTTACAATCAAACTCAAGTGCAAAGCCAGCGTCAGAACTTAAATAGAAGCCAAACCTCAGTCGACAACATTAAAACATGCACACGAACACAAACAAGCATACTGAAAAATGATAATCACTTGTAACATAAAATCAAACAAGAACAATACTAGTAATTATACAAGCAAGGCTTAGAGCCAGACGAGTAGGCAGAGCTGGTAGGAGGACTGAACATGAAGAGTGAAGTGAGTGAACTAGCAGTGGAAAGAGGATTGAACGATGTTGCAGCGGAGAGGGAGGGCCATGGCTTTGTCAGGTTCGATGCCGTAGAAGGAGAGGAAGCCTGAGCCTTTGAAACGGCACAGACATTGGAGGTCGGCGTTTGAGAGAGCCGAGCAGCAAGTTTTCGTCGGCGGCGGAGGGTTTTGGCCGCTCACCGATGGCTGGCACGCCTTCAACCCCTCCGGTGTCATCCTGCACAGACCTTCACCACTCGCCACGTTCATGCCTATCACCATCAACGATAACCCCACCATCACTACCACCTTCTTGATGTACCTGTAAGCTTCCATCTCTCTGTGTATTGTATTGGTTTGGGGACGAGAATGGAGTGAAGCCTGTTTATACAGACTCAACGTAACCTCTGGGACAATATATTTATGATCAACTTCGCCTATATATAGTAATAAAAGAGTAAAATATGTGCATTATTGTGCATTAGATTACTGGCATGTAGGAGGGACCAGTGTATCACGGGAACGCTTTGGATTTACCCCTCCTTTGCTGCTTTTATGATTTTTTATATAATAATTGTAACTATTTTGTGTATCAATGATGGATACGTGTAATGGTCACCTTTTTTATTACCAACATGTGAGTATTTGCATATTGTTAAGCACCGGATTCTCACGGACGAGATTGTGGCTCAAACCTCAAGAAATCGTGTTCCTTACTGTTCCATCCCACCACAGCCCACAGGCTTAAAAGATGCCTTAGCGTCCGTTTGGATTAATATTAGCTGTGGAGAGTTAATTTTAAGCTATATAAAGTAAGTATATCAGAAAATTTTTGGTTCATAAGTGCAAAAGTGTATTCGGTTTTAGGTTGATCCATAAGATTCTTCTAGGTTTTAATATAAAACTTAATTGTTGAGTTAATTTTGGTTCTAAATGTGAGACATATTTTTTATATTTTTTATTATTTTTTAAATGATCCCTATTGATACTCTTTCAACTATAATCAAGTAGAAGATGGAGAGAAGATATTAAGAAAGATGATTATGATGTTTTAGGAAAAATATGTCATATTTCTTATAATTAACTAACTTTAACTAACTTATCTAACTTTTATAATTTAAATTAAATATGTTTTACATTAAAAACTGGAAGAGTACGTAGCTTCTTAGTAGTATAAGGAGGATGGGGTTTTGAGCGAAGCACAAAACTAAGAACTTGGCAGTTAAATTTATCATCCAGAGAGCTTACAACCTACAAATCTAGTTGCATCGCCTCCTTCGTTCAACACTATGCGTTATACATACACTACCTCTGGTCCTAATTATAAGAGCTAATTGACTAATTTGAGAAAATTAAGGAAAGAAGTTAAGTTAGTTATTTGTAATAAATAGGTGTTATATTTCCTAAAATATCCTTACTAATAAAGTATATTAGCTAAAACTATAATTATTAGAAGGACTATCTTGAAAAAAATTGAGTAAATGTGAGAGACAAAATGGATTGGAGTCTTATATTTAGAACCAACATAAAAGTCAAATGTGGTCTTATATTAAGGATCGGAAGTAGTATAATATCAACAAATATGCGTTCTTTCAAGGGACAACCTCGAAGAGATATTGCACACACACACACTTTATTTCTCCCTCCCCAATCCCCCATGAATTTATTATTCGTGAAGCACCGAATTCTCTGACCGAAGAAATAATGGCTTGACTCAAAAACTCCCATAACCCATGGATTTAACTTACTCATGTATATTGAAATTAGAGAGAGAAGAAACTTTCGGCCTCGGGGTCTGTAGTTAAATTAAGCCTAGCCTTGCTTCTTTCACTCATTCACATCTAATTAGTAACTCCATTTGCAATATAATCATGTAAGAAGAAACCACCTGACGTGCCCATATAAAAAAGTACAGATCTGATGAATAGTACTCGTATTTACCAACATGCTATCCATTGTGAACTTCTAAATTTCTTTAACTTAACGCAAAGAACACTGAACAAGGCTCAATCTTCCTTTTTTGGCCCTGTCCCCTAACCAACCCCTCCCCAAATCCTCCTTTCCACTTACCTCTATTTATTATATATAATAATTTTAAATACTCCCTCCGGTCTTTATTATAAGTTTCAAATAACTAATTCACAGATGATAAATAACTAGTTAAAAACAATAAATAGGTTAGAAATATACTTATGTTTTCATATATACTTTTATAAGAAATGAGAAAAAATATTAAAGAAAATATGTGGATAAATGTGATAAAAAAGAAGAGAGAATAAATAATTAAGAATCAAATTGAAACAAACCCAAATTAAAGTTTATAAAATGAATTGCATTATTTCTTAAATTTGAAGTTTATAAATACAACCGAGAAAATATATAAATTTGCATCCCCTAGCCAACCCATCCCTTGTCTTTTCAAATGAACAATCCGTATAAAAACAAAATTATTGTCGACCCAAAACAAAAACAAAAGTTATATATATATATATATGTTGCTCCTATATTCTCTGCTTGCATTGCATGCACGTCTTTAAATATTTCTTTTATACAGAACCACGATGATATTGATGAGCCACCCACCTCTCTCTCCCTCCCTCCCTCCCTCTCTCTCTGTTTTGTTTGGGTTGATAGCAAACCGGCCGGAAAAAACACAGACATCACCACCTGACATCACAATACAGTCATAGACGTAATTAAGTGATAACGTTGGACAACGAACAAACATGTATGTGTGGGTAGTTCCAGTGACAACATCGTAAAGATATTTATTTGAATGGAAAGATAAGCTTAACCAGTCACCCCCAACGGGAAAAATGGACACAGAGCGAGACGTGAGAAGCACTGAAATCTGAACCCCATGCAGTCTCCTAAGATCAGATAATAATGGGCCTAATCTTGAACCCTGAGTATTAATTAAACTAAATTAGACTAAATAAAATGTCCCGTGTATCTTATATATGGTCAGAAAATCCCTTTAACAAAGTTTATGCGAAGTTATTTAATTAAAAGAGCACGTGTTTAAGAATATGTTCAAACAGGAAGTAATTCCCAGCAAGTAATGATCTCTTACTCCTTTTTCATAGGATATTAAATTGTTCACTTGCAATTTTATTAGTGGTGTTTTTAAGAGCTTATTAAGAGTTGTGTGCCACCTCCGGTCCTAATTATAAGAGCTAGTTGCCTAATTTGAAAATATTAAGGAAAGAAGTTAAGTTAGTTATTTGTAATAAATAAGTATTGTCTTTCCTAAAATATCCTTACTTATCAATTGTATTGGCTAGAATTACTATTGTTAGAAGAACTACCTTGAGAAAAAATGCATAAATATGAGAGACAAAATAGATTGGGGTCTTATATTTAAAATCAAAATAAAAATTAAATAAAATCTTATATTAAAGACCAGAAGTAGTATGTTGGTCTCAATCTTGTAAAATGGTTCTGTTTCTCTTTTTTGGTCAACCCATCTGGGACGTTTGCTTTTGATCTTTTTCCCCTTTTGACTGATCCGTTAGATTTTTGTATTGTGTATTGCGTCTGTGTATAGATGCGTTATGAGTACGAAGCCAATACGTCATTCCTAACCTTTAAACAAATTACGCTGGCCTAACTAATGGTCCCACCAAGTTTAATTTGACCCCATGCATGCCAATAATCTCTCTCTTTTTTCTTTTTTCTTTTTTTAATGAAAGAGAAGCTTAAGTGAGTTGGGTATGGGAATTTATTGGGGCTGGGACATATATTTCCAAGATTAAAGTATGCGTATAAAGATAGTTATAGATTGCTCCCCAATAATGTTTTTACATCATTAATGAGATATGGATCTATAATTTTATGGGTGATGGACCAAATCTTTATTATTTGTTGGTTATCCTGCACACATAATACTAATATATGTAGTACTCCCTTCAATCCTAAATATAAAACTTATTTTTACACTAAAAAATAGGTTTTATATTTAGAATCAGAGGAGTATCTCTTTTTTTTTTATCAAGTTGTATGAGCATCGTGTCATTCTTCTTAAAGAAAAGAAAACAAAGTTATATGATTTTTCATTTAAGAGGTTCTATTTTTAAAAAAGTTAAAAAAAATTGTTTTATTGCTCTGAGCCTAAATATAAAATCTATTTTGTAGTATAAATTTTAATATAAAATGAATTTTATATTTAGGAACGAAAGAGTACTATAAAGACTAAGATAACTTGTAAAAAGAAAAATCATCAAGACATAGATTGATACGCTGTCCCAATGTATATACATCGAATGATGATATTTCAAAATCAAATTTAATATTTTTGTCTCTATCACATTCACAATTAATGCCTGCATATTAGATACCCAAACCGGGAAAATATAAAATTTGATGACCCCGTCACATTTAATCCGGATACATCTCCTGTAGGCATCCAACGCTATTATGTTTGGTAGGCAGGGGCTAAAAAACAAGATGAGAAATTGATACAAGACAAGTTTGTACTTTTCTTGGTTGCACCTAGCACCACCCTGATCTTATTTTTTAGGTATATTGAGTATCTTGATCTTATTTAGGTCTAGTATTTTGATTTTATTTTCTGATTATATCCAGCATCTTGATATTATTATTTTTAATGATATCTAATGTCTTAATTTTTATATTGGTATTTCAGATAAAAAAAATTTATATTGGTAGATGAATAAAAAATAAGATAATGGTACTGGACACATCATAAAAAGCATCAGGAGTGCTGGATGCACTTGATAAATAAGATTAGTATGTTAAATGCACTTTACTCTGAAAAAAATGATAATAATAAATTTATATGATACAAAATATAAAAATCATTTTTATTGCATATGATACTTATTTTTTTAAAATAAAGTTGCATCCAACATATTGATCTTATTTTTTTGAGATGCATTTAGCATCATAATTTATTTTATGATACATTTAGCATCTTGATGTTATTTTTCCTGTATATTCAACAGTCTAGTCTTATTTATAATATATCAGATACCCAAAATTATAAATAAGATTATGGTACTAAATATAACTAAAAAATAATATTGGAGCAGTGGATGCATTAGAAAAATAACAATGAGGTGCTAAAAACATGTAAAAAAAAAAAATTAGGGCGCTGAATTCTCACCACCGCTCCACTTGCCAACAAGCTGTTTTAAGAATTATCGAGAATTTAGAATACAAGGAAAAAAAATGAACAATACATTTTCATCCATATTTTTTAAAACAACGTAATGCTGATGCGTGTTTTAACATAAAATGTAAGTTTAATTGGATTATGGTCCAAATGTATAATCAAATGTCAAATACCACCTCCCATCTTTTGAGTAAATCAAGTATATTAAGTTAGTTATTTATAATACACAGGTGTTGTCTATTTTAAAATATTTTTATTAATTATATGTATT